TGTTTTGCATGCAAGCTTATGGAGCTGTCAAAAAAGCAATTCCAAGAATACCGTAACTGATAAACATATTTGGGTACTATATTATTTCAAAATGGATTCTCAGTGGAAAGAAGGGCAATAAGTAGGCTAAATATCAAAAGTTGACCAAAATGTCCAAAGTTCTTACATGTGGGGTTTCCAAATTTGGTCGACAAAATATACAGTCAATCAAAGAGAAGGTTTAACTCGTGGTGCAAAATATGGTCGATTGAAAGTAAAGTGGCCAACGGGAAGACTTTTTATTATCTGGCCCATAGATTTTATGCAGATTTACAAGTTTCGTCACCTATGTTACAATATTTTGTGTATTTGTCCTGAACATTTGCCTATACAACATTCAAATGTTAATTATAGAAGTCAAATATGTAAAAAAATTTGTTCAACAAACCCGTCAGACTCATGGAATGTGTCCAGAATCCACATTTTATTAAAGGAATGTAAGTAAAATACACAAATGTCACTTAGCATAAGAATGATCGGCACGAGTTCTCCGTTTACTTCTTCAAAGGTTTTTTTAACTGAATCCAAGACCTTTCGATAAGTCTCCTTTTCTGTAAATATTTCATCGTAAAGTTCACATTTTCCAAGTTTCGACACAGTTCGTTCCATATTTAACAGCAGGATTTTTTTAACGCAAGTGCAGGTATTCATTAATTTCGTCTTTCCCACTTCTATTCATGAACCGAAAGCAAATTTGGAAAAAATGGTACACCAAGAATTTCACATTGTAGAACAGCTGATTATCCAAGTCTGTGAATTACCGTAGGTGCAGTTGATTGAATTCTAGATAAAAAATGTCTCTGGAGGTAATATCTTCAGGATTAGGTTATGAAATCCTCTGTTTGTATCTTCACACTTGTACCAAACCGAGTTTTCTGCATGTTCTTTCTTTCAATTTGAACGGTCACGTTACGTACTGAGTTATCACCATCTTCTGTCATGTATAGGCACACAGTATGTTTAGGCAACAATTATTTTCCCCAGGAATCAGTTTTGTGCCTTTACAAATATAGGAATAGGGACGGTGTGTATCCCCACAATGTCCTGCATAACAGTCAATAATCCATTGTGCTACATAACTTAATAGAAAAGAAATGATATTGGGTATCCATCCTAAAAGAAAATCAATACATGCAAAGAAAAAAAAAGCAAAGGAACAGCGCTTTTATTGCTGTGCTTAGTCTATCTGTCTATTTGCAAGACTGTTCAAGTCCCCAACAGCCTCCTTAATAGACACGTTATATTCCACAGTGCACCTTCAGTAAAATCAAAGGAAAATCTCCTGTGGACCTTATCACGGTCTGCTTTTGTACTCCCGGGAAAAATAAATTCACTTAAATCAGCTTTATCAAAACTGTGAAACTGCGTTGACGCCAATTGTGTTTGATAGCGCACATTTTCTGTTGTCGGGTAAACTATTGCACTACGTTTCTTGCAGAGTTCTCTCCAGTGGACCTTAAACAATTTTCAGTTTTGTAGAGCTTATTTGCATCATATAGCGCAATGATCTTCTTTCTTTGTCACATTCTCAACAATAGTGGTTATTGGATGTGTCCCAGGTTATAATGGGAGTCCGTCTTCGTGATCCATGAACGGATTGTTGCATCGCGTGTCACACTCAGCTGACTTGGTGGGTATTGGTGAATCGGTTGGGAACAAAGAGCGCTGCAGTGCTTGTTTTATAATTTGTCGCTGCTGTTTCATATCTTCTCTGTTCATATTGACTAACAATTCACCGCATTCACTTGACTGTCTCTGCATGTCGGTCATCGATGGAGCTGGATGGCTTACGGTCCTCCTCAGTTGGCACCATGCAGTGTTTGAAATGCCTGTATCTACAGGTCCAATTTGTAGCCTCCTTCTGTTTTGTGCATCTGCTTGTTTTGCCTTTTTCTATTCCTCCTCTATCTCCTCATACAAGGGGTACGTCATAGACTTATAAGTACACATGGTACAAATCACTTTTTCCCTCCGTCTCATGGTTTTCTTATACTTGGCATCATAGTCAAATTCAAAATTCCCCTTACAGCCTGGTGACTGCTCGAAATGTTCATGAAAGGTTCTGGTGGAAATTTACAGGTCCTATCTGCATGTAAAAAGCTATTTGCTCATGTCTCATATATATCCCTTCATGGACATACAAAAGTAACAGGGCATTTAAGCGTTCTTCTCCCATTGTACTGCGCGAGAAGGTTTTAATATACTTTAAGGACGAGTTTGCCCTTACTGTGGAACTGGATGTTACGCTGGTCAATGAATTTAAGCTCAGAACTTTATCGATGTTTGGAAAAATCGTGCTTCACACTCTTGGGTCTGTTACGGTAGACGTTATTGTAGACGGTTTGTCGGTCTGGTCTCGCCATAACTCGTTCCAGAGTCGAAACTCCTGTCTAAAAGAGTCAGGATATGGCATGTCAACTTCGTAGTAAACGACAATGTCTTCGATAGTATCATTTGATGTTTGATGAATGTTGCTTGGAATCAAAGCCAATGCCCTTATAACGGAAATAGCATGTTCACCAAACCGAATATTGAACTGCTGAATCATTGAGTCTAAGAATGGTAGAAAAATTGCACGTCGAAAATACACTTTTTCATTGTCGGCATTACTTCGCTGGGTCCGGCGCCCACATCGTCTTGGTGCCTTGATACCACCAATGTCCGCAACTTCAGTCATTGTCGTACGTAGCTTTTTCAAACACGGTGTCAAATTCCTTTTCGTCGTCTCGTGTTGATTTGACCAAAGATTTGACTGTATCAATCATTTTATACCCTTCTACAATATCGAGTGTAGACCGTTGGAGTTTTCTACTCAATCCAGTTACATTTCCAAAAAAGTTGTGGACGGTTTAAAAACTAACTATAAAAGTAGAATCAGTAATTTTTGTGAGTAGCCCTTTAGCGTCAATAACAGCTTTCTTGTCTCAGGTGCGTCCGACGTTAGAGCTGATTTCCTCTAAACAAGATAAGATTGGCTCGTACATGGTAGAAAAGCTGCTGAGGGTCGTAATTTTTTCACTCCATCTTGTTTCACAGAAGACCTTAAATTTCTGTTTTGTTATTTTGTTTTGCGCATTCCTTTTTGAATTTATCTCGTCTACGGCCTTTTCGAGACATCGACTCCGTTTAGAATACTTGAAAAATATCCCCAGCTATCTAACATCAATTGTATTTCAGGAACATTGCAAAATTTGCATAGTACTAGATTGAGGTTATGGCTAACGCAGTAATGATAATCATTTTACAGTCTTAATAAAAAAAAAGGCAAGTAAAGGGGGGCGTACGCCCTCTACGCCCCCCTCTGGATCCGCCACTGCCAAATAAACTGGGTTCACCAGGCTGTGGTCTCAGAATAGATATAACTTTTGAGTTATCTACCTTGGCTACATTTTCCTTCAACATTTTTAAGGCGTTCTTAATCAAACTCATTTCTTTGGTCTTGGCAGCCTTTGGTCTGACATGTTTCCTCCTTATTTCTGTTTTTGTTATCCAACTCAACAACAGGAATTTGTCTCCTTTCACAAACTTAACACTTTTTTACTTACTTTTTTAAGGAGTTTTTGGAACTCTGACGCCTATTTTGAAAATACTACTGAATTCATACTTTTCCAACATCATTAATCAACTTTGTAAAATGTTAAAACATCCTAAGAATGCAATCGACAGCATTCAAATTCCAGTTTTGACAGCCTCTTAGAACCTTATTAATGATAATGACAATTCAATATCACTCCACCACTGGTCAATAAAGACCCAATTCAAATCTAGTTGTAAAGTACCATAAAATCATTAAGAAGTCAAAAGTATTTACACACATTTTGCTACACAGTGACACCTAATCACCAAGAATTAAAACAAAGACTAAGAAAACAATGTAACTTTTATCTAATGAAAGTTCTGATTTTACATAAAAATTATAAAAATTACATAATATCAAAATAGACAGTATTTTCTATAATAATTGACAACCTCATGTATAATGTACAAATATTTTACACAAATATTGCAAAACATCTCTAATTAAAAAATTGTTCACGCTAAAACTTAAGTTTTTGCCAAAATACAAAAAAAAAACTTAATTAAATATTCCAAAAAGGGTACGTGTATAAAAAATATAATTGAAGTCGCCTTTTTACAGATGTTACAGTTAAACAACAATAATTTGGCATACAAGGTAGAATATGGTTCTTCCTTTTAAAATATTTTTCTCGTGATTTTCTTGACAATGTTGAATTGGTTGTAGGTACAAGTCCCGTATTCAACTACAGTGTCTCGTGCATGTCAAACATAAATGAAATAAAATAAAAGTACATGTATTCCAAATTTTACAGAATTTTTTTCCGCACTGCATGTTAACTTTTTTTTTTTTAAATTAATGTTGAAATGAAACTTCTATTTGAATGTAAAATATTGGAGTCATTAAACCAGGAAGGAAGAACGTTATCATGTTTACTAGAAACGTTGCAAAAAGAAATTAGAAATAAATGAAGTTTTGACTTCGAGATTGCATATTTTTATTCTTCGTGGCTTGATACACTCTTTTGCATGAAATCATAGCATGTCATTACTGAATGTATTATATACATAAAAACATTCCTTTGTAGCATTTTTGAGGAAATTATTTTAAAGATTAGCAGTTTTGTATGTAAGTCTACGGAGCTGTCAATAACAAGAATGCAACATGAATCAACACTCGTTCAAATTCCAGCTGCTAATAAGTTTCTAAATTATCAACACAGATAAACTCATCATCCAAAAGTCGTACAGCTATAGGATGGTGACTGCTAACAGAGGCTAATCAACAGTAATGGGGCATTTATATTCGTATTTTATCCTTCGATATCACTCGGAATAAAATAATCGAATATAAATGCCTAACCCATGGTTTAATGAAAATTATTTTCACAAAAAATACAATTGAGAAACAAATGATCGATGATAGACTTATATAACTATGTATATATATATATATACAAAGGAATTTTATTAGAATTTGAATGTAATAACCGACTCATGACAATATATTGTAAAAGATTACTAGGCAAACGGAGATCATTTCAGTCAGTGCCATTAATTATTTGAAAAAAAGTCAATATGAAGTAAAGTCTCTTTATTGAAAATTTGCTCAAGAATCATATTTACCGACTTTTAATAGAGTAAAATGGGGAAAATAATAAATACGGAAACCTGTAACATGACGGTAACCAAATTGCACCTATTTTGACATGTTATCACCTACGTTTGTCATGTTTATTCAAAAAGTTGGCGCAAGTTTCCATTATGTGTTTATTTCATAGATATATCCTAATTAACTATGAAGTTCCACAAATTTAATATTTCAATTCATACTGAATCATAGAAAAAGGCTTTGAACCGACCTCGAAACAATCTAAGATTCTCCAATGAGGAGTACCTAAATCGCATATATTATTTTCGATGGTACTTATTTTCGTAGATTGAAAATTTATTTTCGTTGATATTTGATTTCGTGTTTTAGCCCAAATCTGCATTCACGTCTTTAGATAATTTGTACTTCGTTGAACATGTGAATTCGTGGTGTGCCTAATTACCTGTTTTGTAAGAAATAGTTGCCTGTGAATTTAAAATTTAAATTGCTCATTTTTAAAAGTTGTCTTTTTGTGCGACGGTTCCGTACATTTTACTTTTTCACTGGATACTACATCTGTTGATATATATTGTGACCGTTTTGCATATATTTAAGTATGTTTAGCTATGTAGAAAGACGTTATAAATTATAAAAAGCGAATTGTTTAGAGATCCGATAAGATTTCCGCTACTTTTTTTGCACAAATTGGTGCAATTTGGATACTCGGTGCAATTTGGGTTCCGTCATGTTTTATTTTCTATCCAGTTGAAAAGAGGCAAATAATTCCAAGGTGGCATTCAATCCTCGTAAGTATAAGAGAAACTGACAACGCCATGACACAAACAATACGATAAACAACGAACGGAATCTTTGACACAACATCAAGGGTCGGTTTAAAAATAAAAGATTAAGTAATTTAATTTTAAACTGCACTGTTTTATAACAACAGCAGTGTTAATTTCAATTCAAGTACAAAGTTTCACAATTTGAACATGGCTGTATAACTGGAAGAGGATGTATACGCATTTATTACGTTGGTGCTACAATGGCCATCAAATTGAAATAGCAAAGGAAGCCTATATCAGCCTCCGAAAAAGCACATTTGTCTGATAAAAGATATTATGTTCATGCCATATCACCTATGCAAAAACAAGCCGTTCATAGGAACATGTGTGATTACCATAATTTATGAATAAACCACTTTACAAAAAAGTGAACACATTGTTTTATAACATAAGCGTTCTCTCTCTAAAAAAGAAAAACAAACGAATGTCGTTGATTATTTCTGTAGCATTGGAAGATCAGGACCTTCACGACCAACTGAAAATAAAATCAAATGATTATAAAAGCGAAATTTACCTTAAGTATCAGTATCATGTGTTTAACAATGTTTTTTCTTGCACATACAGTGTTACTCTGTGCAGTTCGTATATTTTACTTGTTGGATTAAAATCTAACTAGAACTGCGAGTTAACTCGCTCAATGATACCTTCACCCCCAAATGTGAGTATCTCCCTTTCAGCATATTTGACCAGGCTTATAGTCCTTCATACACATTCTCATCTAATGTTCATCAGTTTCATCAATATCTAATAAGCCATTTAGGAGGAGTTATGTTTACGAAAGACTACCACCACGTATTGCAATAATATCCCCTCTTTAACATGTATGAACGGGATATTCTAGACCTTTGCCGTGTATCATTATCACAGACAGACAGAAACAAGACAGATACGGTAATTCCTATATACTCCCAAAAATGTTTTTTGCTATGTATAATAAAATGGTAGTTACATTTGCATGCAAAATATTGATATATTTAGCAAACTTAATACCCTTATAACATTAAGCGTTCTATCATATTCTTATGGTATTGCATACAATTGTGGATTTTCTACTACCCCGTTGATATCTTGTATCTTTTAAAACAACATTATAAAGTTAAAAGATTTTTTTTCTGAAAATATTTTACTTCTTTGTACTTTCTGTCATCACGATGATCGATTAAAAGGGGAATGTTTAAAAACTAAAAATGACGAATCTTGTCCGGTTTTTTTTTTTTGCTTGCCTAATTTTTTTTTTTTTTTTATTTTTTTTATCTTTAATGAACTGGATGATGTATGTAGATTTTAGTTTTTTAGGCGCTTTTTATTTTTACTCAAAGTCAAGAATTTCTACTTCCGCATGATTAAGAGTTTTCGACATAAGTCTTTTGTTCAAGAACTAACGAAGTACTAATGTTGAGATCTTCATATCTTCAACTGTTGTACAGAGTTGTTAAACACCTGTCTTGGTAGCGTTTATTCCATATAATATTTCTGTATTTCATAAATATATTGATCAAAGTTGCATGACACAGAAAAGAGTATAGGTTCACGCATGACTTAATTTGGCACACATATTTTAACGTGTTTTTTTCACACATGGCAAATTACTACGATTTCACAAAGAAATCGTTGTAATAATACTATTAATAAATTTTTTTACACATCCCATTATTATTAGCCAGTCCATGCAAAAAGGTACAAAAACGAAAAATTTGCCAATTTCTAGAAAGTGTCCTTAATTATTGGGAGCAGACTTGTGATCTATAAAACACCGTTATTTTTCCTCATACGATTAAGCTGTTAGCTATACAAACCGTTTAGTGCTTTAACCCCCTCCCCATTGTTTTTTAAAAGATTTTGCTCAATAATTTCACATTTTTATTCAGTTTTTCGTGTATAGTTTAAGTGTCTTAACTTGTCACTTGATTATGTTCACTCGGGTAGCAGTGAGAATAAGAATCTCGCTTACGAAGCAGAAATCAGTGCAACGGATCAAATCCGTCCAGGGATAGTTGATTTATATAATATTAATTAACTTAACTTAAATTTCAATTTCCAAAACACAAGATGGTATCATTTTTGTATTTTCCCTTACGTTTAACTGTTTTGTTCCTTTCTTTAGGCATAGGTAGAGATGATGAGAATCGTTGACCTTTGTCTCTATGGTGTCGCAAATGATTTTATTTCAGCTCATTGTAGCATTGTTCCTGGGTAAAAAATGATTTTACACTTGCCTAAGTACAGAAATTCCGATATTTCTACGTCTTTTTCTGTTTTAACTGAAAAATTCGGGACAGAATTTACCATTTTATGAATGATTAAATTAATACCAATCTTTAATTATAAAATCGTTTTTCAAAAATGTTTTAACGAATTTTAACAACGTGTCCTGTAAAGTTTATCAAAAACACTTTTTGTACCTTTTCGCATGGAGTGGCTCATATACATGATACAAATAACGTAGTAATAACCTTTTAATTAAGCATCATTTGTGTTGTAACATCAATTTTAATTCAACTTTTCATAATGATAACAGTTTTTGGCATAATTTACTTTGGCAGCACCCTGATTCAGACAACTTTTGTTTCTATGAATTCAATATAATTATTGGCCCCTTTTGGTTTCAAAATTTGCATTGTAGATTGCAACCAAGGTTTTAATTAAGCTATCAAATCCGAACATCACATGCAACATCATGATATTTTAACAATATATCCAGTTGATAAAGTTGAATACAATATACCGTTTGTATATTCTGAACGTTACATGTATTTTGTCAGCAGTGCTCCAAACCAAATATTCGAAACCTGGTTGATATCAAATACTGAAGATCAATTAACACAACAGAAGACATTACAAACAACTAAGAAACACATGTAAATAAGGAAGATTTAAACAAAATATTCACGTAGTCTGAATAAATATTTTCAACAAACAATACTGAAGGTGGTATAATTGACATGCGGCTACTTGGCTAGACATCGGATTTGCATTCAACCGGTAGTTGCATCGACTGAGTTGTAATTGAACAAATTTTACCAGATGCCAATTTGAAACTATAATAAATTTGATGCATCATATGCATATTTTGAAAAGTTATTACTTGTCAGTGAGGCTTAAAACTAAATATTTGAAATCTGACAGTATTTAAATATGGAGTTTCAAAATAACACAGGAGATGACAACATCTTCAAGGAACACTGCAATGTTCTAATTTTAACTTCAATGTGAATCGTTAGTGCGACACGCCTAAACTATGCATATTCAGACTTACACATCTGTGGCTTTGCTAATCTCTTACAGCGTACAACAAGTATAATACACACTATTATTGCGAATGTTAGCACCGAAGAAACTGATATGACCACTACTGTTACATAATTGACTTCCCTCATTTTTTCTGTTTGTGACACTGAAATAAAGAAAAGCAAATGATATAAATAATAAATAATTATTATTATCCTTGCAAAACCATTTTGTATCTTTCTGTTAAAAATCTGTTTTCAACAAATTCTTCTTTTTAGGACCAACTCGCAGAAAAGATTAAAAATTTTAAGAATTATTAACATCTAAATAAATTAAGGCGATAGTAGTTTACCGATGTTTAAATTTAATAAATCTATTAATAAGATACAATTCAAGGTAACAAACAAAAACTGAAGGAATCGCATGAACTAAAAGAAAAAAAAAGGGAGCGAGACTGGGGCTAGTTAAGTACAAAAATACTTTCGAGTATTATGATCCAGTTCATAAATCAACCAATCAAAATATCGGATTTGGTGTTTCGAGCACACATTTCGTACCCGAGAACGAACTAAAGTTTTATTACTGAAAGAACGGGTGATGCTTAAACAGGGCAAAATAGTATTATTAATAATACAAATACCAAACTCCAAGGTAAACTTCAAAAATAGGAAAGTCCATAAAAATGACAAAATCAAACGCTCGACTAAATCAACCAAAGGAAAGCATAGAAAACACCTGTCATATTCCTGACTTGGTCCAGACATTTTCCAAAAAAATAGAGGCTCTTAAGAGCCTGTGTCGTTCACCTAGATCTAAGTATATTTATAACATGCATTCTTCAGTTTTGAAGCCTTGTTCACCCATAGAAGAAGGAGTACATCTTCAACAATAACCCTGTTTTCCAATTCTAACATAACTGTCATAGTATAATGTTTATGTTAATATTTTTCACAATAAAACATTATTTACACTAACAATGGACCCTCTCCAACATTGTAGACTAGAACAGAATTCATGACAACAATCTCATTCTTGTTGATCTTGTACGTATTGCTTACCATTTTTTTTTCTGTTTACAGTTTCTCCCTATCTTTATCGTCATAATGGACAATCACTCCTACCAACGATTTCCACTAAATTTAGTTTATTACTATTCAAAGTGTCTTTTCTATTTTTTTGTTGTTTTTTTTTGTTTTTTTTTTATAGTTTTTAGGATAACGGGCAAAAACGAAAAAAATAGGAATAGATTATCACTTAAGGATGTATTCTTCTGACGTTTCAGTCTCGTTAAAATCTCGTTCTGGAATTATTTCCAAAACATGTGATACAAGTGGAAAATATCAATGAATTTAAAAAATATTATAATCAAACTTAACTCTGTGAAAAAATTGTGTATTTACAATAAGTAGTTTTTGAGTAATAAAATTTTCAAATTTTATAATCAATCAAGTCAGTCTTATTAGCTAAAAAGTTGAGAAAATGGGTGAGGGGTACAAGAAATGATTTTACCAGATACATGTACATCCCATATCATTTTTTTCTTTTCAAATTTCTTAGATATGTATTTTTTCAATCATTTATAACAAAGAAGTTGAAATAATATGCAATTTGTTCTAAAAAAGAGAAAAATCCCAAATTTACAAAATTGACAACATGGTAAATTTGACACGAAAAAGCAACAAAATTTTATAAAACTTTCTTATATTAACACCTACCCATAGTTTTTTTAAGTTAAATTTATTCAAATTGGTCCACTTCATCTTTAGGGAAAGTATGAAAAAAAGTTTAATTGTGAAACTGTCATTTTTTTCATGATAATAGCTCAAAAATGGGTAAATATTGATGAAAAATGGGAAAATCATCAAAATTGGGTACTTTCAAATGACTGTAGCAAAAAAAGAAGTGCACCACCATATGATTTTTTCTTCACCAATTATTTTTTTACAGTCATATAAACCCAAAAATCAGGTTAAGAAAAATAGTTTAATTCTAGAAATTTTTGGCTCCTCAGAGGTGTACATCCTTAAGAGCAAGAACTCCAATTAGGTTTCAACTGACGATTTCGGCTATGTTATTTTATTTGAAGGTCTTATTTATCTGATTAATTTTGCTATTTAAAGTGCCTACCTATCTATAACAGTTTTCAAGATAAAAGGCAAAAACACAAAAAATGAAAAAAAAAAACATTATTAAAGAGAAACTCCAATAAAAAGTCGTATATTGATTTTGACCATGTGGACTTATTTGTAGATCTTGTCTTGCTAATCAGTTTTGCTTATTTGAGTTTTGATCTATCTTCCCAGCAAACACCATGAACACATAACATTTTAAAAACATTTTTTAAATGTCATATGGACGTCTTTCAGAAAACATTGCAATAAAATACCATTTGAATATCACAAAAATGTTGATTTTGTTGTTATTGAAATGTTTCAATTCTAAGATTTAAGTAAAATGTTTTTACAACATCCAAGTTATATTGTTTATTAATATCTGTATTAGTTTTTTTTGACAAAATTATTTTATATCTACCTGTGTGACGTCAAACGCGCGATTCTACGCCAGTACTTAAAACCTTCCATCCTTTATGGCCGGATTTTACATAGATAAATAAAATCGTATAATAAAAAAGCAAAATGAGGATGTTAAATTTGATGTATGCCTTTTTGTGCTTCTTTGTTACATTTGTTTGTTTTTATAGTGATTAAGATGATAACACAATGTTGACTGCTGTACCCCTATATTTGACATTTTTACCTATTGTGTCTGTATGTTTTGTTCACGCATCGTTGTCAATATAATGGAATTTGATGCGACTGTCATACAAGTGAGAGGTTTAGCTAGCTATAAAACCAGGTTCAATCCACCATTTTCTACATAAGAAAATGCCTGTACCAAGTCAGGAATATGACAGTTGTTATCCATTCGTTTGATGTGTTTGACATGTTTGAGTTTTTGATTTTGCCATTTGATTAGGGACTTTCCTTTTTGAATTTTGCTCGGAGTTCAGTATTTTTGTGATTTTACTTTTTATTCATGTTCTCAAATATTGTTTTAAAATATACCACAAATATTTCTATGATATCAAAAAAAATAATATTTTCTTCATCACGTATTTTATATTGTTGAAACATATAAAGTAAACAATTTCCAGATATTCCAAAAACATTCTGCTAAAACTATTTTGCTGAAAACATAGTTTTGATATTTGCATAAAATGTTTTATAAAGTAAATTTAAAACGTTTTACATTTAACATAAAAATATGGGCTAAATGTTTCCTATAAAATATTTTTACATACACTTAAATAAATATTCTTACTGATATTTAATTTTAACATTTTTCAGATATAAAAATAACATTTTGATTAAACTTTGTTCAAAATCCCACAGACAATGTTTTAAGGGATTAGCTTGTTGCTGTTTTCGTTTATATATTAAAACATTGTAAATGTTATCAATATTTAAGTTTATTCATTCAGTCAGATTTCATTTTATCAAATATTAAAATCAAAAAGAGTCAACTTTCATTTAAGCGAGAATGTTTTAATAAACAATTGTTCGTGTGTATTCTAGAAAATTAGAATTGAAAACTGTCAATGAAATATAAGAAACTGTCCTCTTTCTTTCCATTTGTATCGTTATGCATTCGGAAAAGTTACCTTTTCCTTTCCGGAATTAGTGCGGAATTCGAAGTCGACTGTTTTTGGTTTTGACCAAAAGATGTAATGTGGATATCGGGAACCAGTTTGCGGAATACAACTTGATCGCTCACCTGAAGAAGGTGGTGGTTCCGATTTTGATTGAAAAACCAAAAAAAAAATATACAAGTCTCATCTAAGGAGTTTATTCATTCTTACCATGTAAGCAACAAACAAATTTTTTCGTACTCTTTGTTGATTTTCTTTGTCTTTTGTTTCAAATTTTAAATTTCAAGTTGTATTTCCGCAAACTGGTTCCCGATATCGACATTACATCTTTTGGGTACACTAAATCTGCCTCTGTTCTAATATCTACATACATCAATGTGTCGAGACGATTCGGATTGTTGTAAAAATAAGGAGATGTGGATTGTGCACAGGCACTTGTTTCTATCCATGTGAAGATTCACTATCAACGTATTTTTAGGAGCTCCAAATATACGTTGAAAGTGGATCTTCACATGGATAGAAACAAGTGCCTGTGGATTGTGTATGATTGCGAATGAGACAGCTATCCACCAGATAACTCGAATAATTACAGCGCCCCCTTACGGTCATTGTAGTGATCGAAGTGAGTGAAATATAACGACTGGATTATTCGGGTTATCCACCAAAGTTCAAATGAAGTGGATATAAGCAATTATATGTCACTGTACGGCCTTCAACAATGAGAAAACCCATACCAAATAGTCCGCTATACAGGCCTCAACATACAAATTGTGAAACAAGAAAGCTAACGGCCTAAATTTTTTATAACAATTCACATTTATTATGAAAAAACATATATGACAGACATGAACCAACGACAACCACTTAACTACTGGCTCCTGGCTTTGGACAGGCACATAAAGAATGTGGCAGTTTTAAACATTTTTTTGAGTTCTTTACCCTCTCCAGGACAGTGGTTGAACACTAACAGCACAACATAAGAAACGGTAAAAATAAGTTGAAAAAGGCCTGACTCAATAGATCGGTCTATGGCACAAAAACAAGTAACATTAACACAAAGCATCAGATGAATTTAACTGTTTTGTGTTTTCTTTACACAACAAAATCATCAGAAAACAGTTATTTTTCCCCATATTGTACGGATTGTAACCTTGATTTTGCTTTTTTTAGTTGCTCTTACATTTACAGTAACAGAATGTCCTACCACATAGTGGGTAATCTGTCGAAAAATTACAAACTCTCGAGTCAAAAGTCAATTATAAGAAAAAGTCTATTACAAGTATGAGAGGATCCAACGTGTCCATACTACATTTTAATTTGTTGATAGCATAAAATTCAGTGTGAAGTTGTTTTCGAGATGCTTTGGCCTTATACAAATTGAGCCATTCCGTTTGAGCAATATTCTGTTAAGTGTGAGTTATTTCAGTCCAATTTCATATTGTAGTTTTCCTATAGACATAAAACAGCCTTTTGGTTAAGTTGGAAATTAAAGCTATTTTTTATCATCATGATCATGG